GAAAAAAACAGTATCCAGGCACTGGCAGACTGTGGTGAAATATAAGTCGGGGAATACGACTAAAAAGTCATGGGGACTGCAGAACACATATATAAATATACATACATATATATATATACATGCATACATACATATATATACATGCATACATACATATATATACATATGTATACATACATACAAACATACATATACAAATAAGGCAGTGTTTGGTTTTGAGACACACTAGCTCATGCGTTAGGGATAATAAAAAAATATTAAAGGTTGTATGACAGGAGACAACATAGTGACACACTTTCTATTTATTTTGTTTGAACATGCAACAATATTTGCTTTTCATGACATTTTCCTAGAAATACAATACGAGAGACAGAGAGATAAACACAACAAAACAATGACTACAGAGTAATATGTCCTTTATGAAATAAAATGCACATCACACACCAAAGATGACCCGGAGATCTGCTAGAGACAGTTTAGTGAATGAAGATCCAGTTCCGGACAAGACTTTCTGAGCCAGCTCTTTCTTCTTTTCCTGGAGAGAAGAGATCTTGTCTTCCACTGTACCGTCACACACAAACCTGTAAAGAGATTGACCATGATGCCATGCAATCAATCTGATTACTTGATTTCTGACTCCTATTCTAGGAGGATCTTTTATACTGCTTTAAAGTAGGGGCTCTATCTGTGCCCCTACTTTATTTCCACTGTATATGCTACCTCTGGGCACAATAATATAAAAAAAAGCTACTTAAAAAAAAAAAAAAAAACAGAAGCACTGCCCATAGACTGCTCTGTCAGCTTGCTTAAATGAGGTCAACTTTTATTATCCTTAAATTAAAAAATGTAATCGTTTTCAGTCTATCAGAAAATATAAAAATCCTTTCATTTTAACAGAAATTTTATGGGAAGTTCTCACAGGTATGGAATCTGGGTGTTCTTTTAGATGGCTAACTATATTTCAACAAATCTCCACTGTGATCGACTGATGTGTTTTCATCAGCTCCGTACACTTACAAAAATAAACTTTCACACTGACACTTGGAGATGGCCATTCACGTTTTTTTTTTAAATCACATTTTGATTACAGAAACTCTTTGTACTGAAGCATCTGCAAAACTCAAATTGCCAGTCTTCGATTAGTGCAGAATGCTATATCCCATTTAAAAACAGAAAGAGAGGGGCCACATTACTCCACTCTACACTTCACTGGCAGTCTGTTCTTTGTGCAATACATTTTAAAATTATATTATTTGCTTTTAAATTGCTGCATTGTCAAGCACATACCCATTTATCTGAAATGCTTCATGCCCACAAGAAGTCTAAGATCTTGTAACCAAAACCTTCTGTTAATCCCACACGTGTAGAAGTGACTGTGTTTTCTCTTTGAGCCCATGTTGTTTTCATTGACCTGCTAGAATCTATTTAGCCTGTTTTCATATCTTATTTGTGTTTCGATTTTTTTAAAATCTTTTCAAATCACTCTTAGCTCTAGTTTTGATGCTTTGGTCAGTCTTACACATGCTATATAAAGGAAGCAAACTTGAAGTAAACTTCAACTTGATCTTTTTATATGCTACAAACTTTTTCGTACTCAACATAAAACTGTGCTACATGGTATATTAAATTTGGTGTTCCTATCTCTTGTTTCTCTTGTAAGACTCAAAAATGTTACAGTGTTAATGTAAACATTAACACAGGCTGTTGGAAACCCAGCGCATTACTGCAGCATCAGTTCCTCACCTGTGAATTGTAACATCTTTAGATTGTCCCACCCTATAAATCCGATCACAGGCCTGATCCTCCAGAGCTGGATTCCTGTCAACAAAAGGCCAGTTAATATACACATTCATGTAGTCCCTCTGAAGCACTTCACTTTATTATCAGTTTGTAGTCTGAACTAAAGATGTTTTTTTATCTTACTGTTCATTTAGTTCAGTTTTAAACACAATTCAAACATTTAAACAAGTGACAGAAATTGCTAATATTAAGTTCTTCTGTGCAGCGCTGAAATTATGTAAAAATGCTCATTAAGCATCTTTCTTGTGAAGTGTCTCACCAGTGCATGTCGATTAAAAACAGATGATTTCCGCCAATCAGATTGATTCCTACACCTCCAGCACACAGAGACACCAGCATCACCTACAGCATAAATAACAATTGCTAATATTAGCTATTGATCTTTAGCCATCTGTGAGATTGAAGCCATTCAATAAATCAAAATGTTTGACCAATAAATCAAAATTTTTGACCTTCACAATGCAAAGGAACAATCCACACACCTGAGGTCCTTTAGGGTTTGTGTTGAACTCCTCTACTAGATCCATTCTGCGTTTGGGATTGACGGTGCCATCAATTACTGCAAACTTCAGACCCATTTTCTCTAAGTGAACGGCAACAATTTTCAGCATGCTGGTCCACTGAGACACAATCACACTGCCAAACAAGAAATTACAAAAACCCACTCAGAGAATCTCAAGCATTACAATATTGTTTGAAGAAAGACTGAAATAATCCAATTAATGACATACAAGGATTTTTGACAGTATTTTCTTTCTAAAATATGGTTTTGTCTTGCTTCCAGTCCAAATATCTCAAACTTTCAAATCAAGAAAACTTTTCTAGACAAGCTAAATTATTTTGTCTTGTTTTCAGAAAAAAAGGCCAAAATAAGTAAGTTTCTCATTAGAATAAGCTAAATAATCTGCTAGTGGGGTAAGAAAAATTATTTTGCTTACCCCAATTGGCAATTATTTAGTTTGTTCTAAGGAGAAACGTACCTAATTGTAATCAGCTGTTGCTGTTTGTTTGTTTAATTTGGACTAGAAACGAGACAAAGCCTCTAATAAAAAAATCTGTTTTTACAGTGTAGTGAGGAACGTTCTTTTGATAACTTTTTCTCAGTGGAAATCGGTCATGTTCTACAACCAACATATTTAAAATAAGGATTTATTAATGGGGATTTAATGTAACAGATCAGAACACATTCAAAGCTTTCGAAATTTAACTCAACTGAAATAGCGGCTGACATACCTTTTTTGATCTTTTTTTCTAATTTCTTTCAATTCTGTCAGAATGGATGAAATCTGAAAAAAAACAAAGTGTTATATCATATACCCCAGTCAAAGTTTAGATTAACGCAACACTTTAAATAAGATAGAATTACATATACAAACAAAAATATTTAAAATGTCCATAACACTGCAGCTGTGATGGTGGCTTAGTCAGTAGCACTGTCGCCTCACAGCAAGAGGGTCACTAGTTCGAGTCTCAGCTGGGTCAGCTGGCATTTCTGTGTGGAGTTTGCATGTTCTCCCAGTGTTCGCGTGGGTTTGCTCCAGTTTCTCCCACAGTTCAAAGACATGCGCTACAAGTGAATTGGGTAAGCTAAATTGGCCATAGTGTATGTGTGTGAATGAGAGTGTATGGGTGTTTCCCAGTGATGGGATGCAGCTGGAAGGGCATCCGCTGCATAAAATATCTGCTGGATGAGTTAGCGGTTCATTCCGCTGTGGCAAGATTAATAAAGGGACTAAGCCAAAAAGAAAATGAATGAACGAACAAATGAATGACTGCTGCCGACAAAACTCACTTATTTGTTTATTAAGGACTACATGTGGTCTGCTGAGAGAGTAATTTGTTAATATATATTGTATATATTTATATGTTGAGGGATGCCGTGGCGCAGTAGGTAGTGCTGTCGCCTCATAGCATAAAGGTCGCTGGTTCAAGCCTCGGCTGGGTCAGTTGGCGTTTCTTTGTGGAGTTTGCATGTTCTCCCCGCGTTCGTGTGTGTTTCCTCCGGGTGCTCCGGTTTCCCCCACAGTCCAAAGACATTTGCTATGGGTAATTTGGGTAGACTAAATTGTTAGTAGTGTATGAGTGTGAATGAGTGTGTATGGATGTTTCCCAGAGATGGGTAGCCGGCAGCTAGCTCTCTGCAACTCTCACATGGTCGCCCACTGAAGCTAAGCAGGGCTGCGCCCGGTCAGTACCTGGATGGGAGACCACATGTCTGTTAGTAGGTGTTAGTGAGGCCAGCAGGGGGCGCCTAACCTGCGGTCTGTGTGGGTCCTAATGCCCCAGTATAGTGACGGGGACGCTATACTGCTCAGTGAGCGCCGTCTTTCGGATGAGACGTTAAACCGAGGTCCCGACTCTCTGTGGTCGTTAAAAATCCCAGGATGTCCTTCGAAAAGAGTAGGGGTTAACCCCAGCATCCTGGCAAAATCTGCCCACTGGCCTTTGTCCATCATGGCCTCCTAACCATCCCCATATTCAATTGGCTGCATCACTGTCTCCTCTCCACCAATTAGCTGGTGTGCGGTCTGGCGCAAAATGGCTGCCGTCGCGTCATCCAGGTGGATGCTGCACACTGGTGGTGGATGAGGAGATTCCCCCCACTGTGTAAAGCGCTTTGAGTGTCCAGAAAAGCGCTAAATAAATGTAAGGAATTATTATTATTATTATTATTGTTGCAGCTGGAAGAGTATCCGCTGCGAAAAAACATATGCTGAATATTTTGGCAATTCACTACACTGTGGCGACCCCAGATTAGAAAAGGTACTAAGCCGGGAAAAAAAATAATGAATGAATATTTACATTATATTTATATTATTATTGAATTTTTACAGCAAACATTTATGAAAACTTTACTGCCAACCGCCACTGGTACTGACTCTTTAACTAAAATTACTTTCATAATTTACTTAAAGAAAAAACTGCATACTGGACATACACTGACCACAGCAGTGTGAGGCAGAGCATGTTCACCTTAGTGCTTTCACGAGTGTCCTGGAAGAGCTCAGAGGAGAAGTGGCTGCCGTTGAGGGAAACAGTGTCTTTATTCTCAGAGTCTGAGGGTTCAGACAGAGACAGAGCACACAGTTGCTCTTCTAGAGACAGAGCCACACCGTCACCCTGCAGCTCCGACTGATCCAGAGTCTGAAGAAACATACACTGTCTTCAGTACATGAGTGTGTGTAAATTGGTGCAAGAGAAAGAGGAAGCGTGACCTTCTTGAGCAGAGACAGGTGACAGCAGCACTGTCTGAGTCGCAGCAGCAGTGACAGGATGTGAATGGTGCTGGAGGCCTGAGGCTGCTGAGAGGAAGACTGAGAGTCCTGCTGAGACATGCCAAACTCGCGCGCAACTAACAAACAAACAAACAAACAAACAAACAAAATCTTTGCTGCCTTGTTGGACTAAATGTGTAAATTAACATTCAGCACATTCCCTGAATGATATTCAACTTTAACCATACCCATGACCCTAGATAACATACAGAGCAGTGGCAACAAAACAAATTGTTTGAGAAATTGATTCTTCATTGATTCTGAGATATTCAAAATTCATCACTATACTCTCTTGAATTGAATTCTGAGCCTACTGTTTAACAGCAAATGGTGCTCTAGGATAGTTTTTAACAGTGAATCAAATGTACACAAGGAGCATTAATTGACTTAACTCATTTCCATCTTTATTAATGATTATTTCAGGTTCAAGAGAGATTTGTAAGAAATTTGAAGCAAACCAATTATGGCTGTTTTAAAAATATTTCTAATAACAGATTTATTTTTTCTTTTGCCATGATGACAGTAAATAACATTTTACTAGATACTTTTCAAGACACTTCTATACAGCTTAAAGTGACATTTAAAGGCTTAACTAGGTAAATTAGGTAAACTAGGCAGGTTAGGGTAATTAGGCAAGTTATTGTATAACAATGGTTTGTTCTGTAGACGATCGAAAAAATAGCTTAAAGGGGCTAATAATTTTTCCCTTAAAATAGAGCTTAAAAAATTAAAAACTGCTTTTATTCAAGCCGCAATTAAACAAATAAGACTTTCCTCAAAAGAACAAATATTGTCAGACATACTGTGAAAATTTCCTTGCTTTGTTAAACATCATTTGGAAAAAAAAAATAAATAAATAAATAAATCAAAGGGGGTTTAATAATTTCAACTATAGAAGTCAATAACTACCAGTTTCCAACACCAGTAAATGATGACAGAATTTTCATTTTTGCATGAACTGTATTCTTAATTAAGATTACCATCTAGGGCTGCAAATGGATTGCTCAACATTTAATTAAATCCAAACTTTTTATTCTGCTCTCAATCAAGGAGAAACCCTTGATAAGAACATTTCTACAAACAAATTCTTTCAGAAAGTTCTTTTCAATTATACTGTTTAATTAACAATGTTTTTTCATATAACTAAGTGATTTCTAACAACTGGATATGATTTGTATTGCTAAAACAAGTCATAGGTTACAGGAATGTATGTTGTTTACTAACTTTTGTTGGTTTAAATTAATTATGTTTTTATACATAGTTTTATTCTGTAATCCTACATTTCGAATTATAAATGATTGCCACTTACTGATGTTATACTGTTTCTTATGCTACATTTCAACACATTAAATAGACATTGATACACAAATGTATGCATTTTATAAACTACATTATTTAGCATTACTTTGTGGAAATAAATTGATGTCCACAACAGAAGGTTTTGAACAGAAACATGATGCAAAATGTCTCAATTTCTTTTTAAATACAATTGTACTTTACCGTTCATCAATTCCAATAACAGGTAGAAATAGATTTTAAAAGATGAGCCTATTGACTCCAGAACCAGCAAAATTCTAGAATTAAATAGCCCCGTATTTGTGTGCTTTGGAGCTTGCCATAAAAGTGCTTACTAGAACATGACAGATTTAGTGGGAACATTATTTACATTCACTAAACAAAATAAAGAACAAACACAAAATAAAGAATTAACACTAAATCTTCAGTTAAATTCTCCTCAACTGCTAATCCTAAAGAACGACAGAGATTACCTTTCTCAAAAGGATTACTGGTGTCCCCCTTTTTAGTGTTTCCGTCTTCATGTCTTTTAAGATAGTTTTGCAGTGTGGACCTGAAAGGGTATGTACACAAAAGTTCAACATATAACAAGTCAGTTTTTAGAGTATTTATACATAAAAGACAGTTTCAAAGCATCTTTTTAAAGCAATACTAAAGTGCCATTATACAGCACAGTTCAATTCAGGGTTTAATCTGTTCAAGTTCATTCATTATGAAACAATTTTAGGTGGCATTTAAGTTTGGTGTCATCAAATCAATGTTTGAGCAGATTAGTTGTGTATTACACCCCAGCTAATTAAGCAAAATACAAGTAGTAAGGAATACGAACTCAACAGAAATAGCAGCTGACAAATATGGACAGAACAAACTTTGAAAGAACAGACAAAAAAATGTACAGAATAAACAAACAGACAAGTGTACAGTGACACAACATACCTGGATTGTGCAAACACAACATCATATACAGCCTGCTCATCTTCAGACAGTTTCAAACGGTGAATCTCACATGTCCGATCAGGCAGAGACACCTGACATAGAAACACAAAATTCTTCAGGTGGCCAACGAATTTAGGCGTATGTGATTACAGCCCCCTTAAATTACCAATATGTACAGTTTTCTGAATACTAAAAGTGTTCAAGTTTCTGAGAACTATACATTGCATCAGTGTGTGTACCAGTGGTTTTCCAGTAGCATCCAGCTGATCTTTGGTCCTGCGAAGCAGCAGAGCTCTAGTAAGGATATTTAGTCTCTCTCCTCCTCTTTTTGAGCCATTATCAACCTGAGCCTTCCACAGTTTATACTCATCAAATGGAGAACACCTCAGAAACCTGAAGAGCATGTGCAAGAAAAACAACTGTGATTCTCTGACCAAAATAAACTACTACGATAAAGTAGTTCAAGTATTGTGATAAAGATTTGTTTTGGTTTTTAACTCTTTCCCTGATAATGTTTTTATTATTCTATTATTTTTTTAAGTAAAAATTATCCTAATTTGAATGCAGGTAGGTTTCATCAAAGATGCAACATTTTTGACATAAAACAGAGAAAAAATGATCTAATCTTCATATATTGCATTAATATAGTGCATTTTCATGACATTCATTCCTTAATTTTCTTTTCTGCTTAGTCCCTTTATCAATCAGGGGTCACAACAGCAGAATGAACCGCCAACTTATCCAGCATATGTTTTACGCAGTGGATGCCCTTCCAGCCTCAAACCAGTACTGGGAAACACCCATACACTGCAAAAAATGCTTTTCTTACTTAGAATTTTGTCGTGTTTCTAGTCTAAATATCTAAAATTTCTTATATCAAGAAGCATTTTGTAGACAAGCAAAACATATCGTCTTGTTTTGAGAAATAATATGCCAATATTCAGTGAGTTTTTCCGTAAAACAAGCAAAATAATCTGCCAATGGGGTAAGCAAATTAATCTTGTTTTTTCTTTTGGCGTAAGATTATTTTGCTTACCCCATTGGCAGATTATTTTGCTTGTTTTAAGGAAAAACTCACTTCATTTTGGCATATTATTTCTCAAAACAAGACTATATGTTTTGCTTGTCTAGAAAATGCTTCTTGATTTAGGAATGTTTAAATATTTGGACTAGAAACAAGATAAAAAGTCTAAGTAAGAAAAGCATTTTTTGCAGTGTACACACTAATACACTATTGCCAGTTTGGCTCATTTAATTCACCTATAGTGCATGTCTTTGGACTGTGGGGGAAACCGGAGCACTCGGAAGAAACCCACGCCTACACGGGAAGAACATGCAAACTCCACACAGGAATGGCAACTGATTCAGTCAGGGCTGGCTGTGAGGCGATCATGCTACCCAATGCACCTTCATGCTGCCCATTTTCATGACATATATAGTGTATTTGATTAATAATTTAAATTTTAGTATATTTTGCACACTCTGCCTTTAATGCTGCTTCATTCCAAAATTATGATGAAATGATGAAAGAGTTTTGTTTGGTCATATGACAATAAACTGATCATACTTGAGCAGTGAATACATGTCCAGCAGGTTGTTCTGAATGGGGGTTCCAGTAACAGCCCAGCGGGATCGGGCTCGTAGCTTACACACTGCCATGGACGTCTGGACTTTAGGGTTCTTAATGCTGTGGGCCTCATCGAGAATCACACGTGCCCAGGCTACACGTAAAAGAGGAGGCAGATCTGAAGCCTACAAACAGAAGCACAGCAACATCTTAGGGGTGTCAAGTCTAATCTAAAACATCTTAGCTAATTAAATTAATCACTAAAACAACAATGTCACGATTCATACCACATGATCAGAGTCCTTAGAGGGTTTCTCGGCATCCTCCTTCTGCACAGGAATCTCCTTAGAGACCAGGCTATAAGTAGTGATCACTACATCATGCTCAGCAAGTCTGGCGGAGACAGATTTACAAGAGGATGAGAGATAAAGCAAAATGACACGAAAAGCAAAATGTGAAGGAAAGAAAAAGAAAGGCTGATTGGTGAGCTGTAGCATACAAGTATGTACAGTGACGTTAGGAAGTACTTATTACACTTAAATTGTGAGAATACTTTTGTAAAATAAGACAAAATGTAAAAAATATCAATAGCAATAAAAAACTCAGAAGTGTTTGTGTTTCACTAAATCCACTAAAAAGCCTCAGGAACAAATTGGTGGATTGAAAAAAATTAAATAAAAAAATAAAGGTTGCCAAATTGTTTGTTATTAAGTACTGTTGAGGTCACATGACTCTCTTTCACTTGACCCAACCCAGTGTGTTCCTTACTCTAACTTTCTCTGTGTGAAGGTTGATCAAATTCATCAATGATTGCTTAAATCTGTTTTATCTTCTTATGATAATCATTATGATCATATTACCGTTAATTGGTCAGTAAGCAGTTTTTTCTAACTTTGAACTGCCAACAATTGATTTTATTATGAAGGAGATAAAAAAAAATAAAAAAAAAAAAAAAAAAAAAATCGAAGACTTCCACCTGTTCACTTGATCCCCTACCGACTATTGTAGTTAATTCCTGTGTTAATTCACTCTTATCCTTCATAACATCTATTGTCCGTTCTTCATCTACTGCTACCGTTCCTTCATCATCAAAAATAACCTCTATCACTTCAATACTTAAAAAGATTGGTGCTGATCCCAATGATCTAAACAATTATAGGCCAATTGCCAACCTTCCCTTTGTTTCCAAAATACTGGAAAGAACAGTAGCAGCTCAACTTCACTCACATCTGCTTACTTATATGAGCACTTTCAATCTGGATTCTGCCCCAAACACAGCACAGAAACAGCCCTCACTAAGGTTGTTAAAGATCTTTCATAGCTGCTGATTCTGGCTGTTTGTGTATTCTTTTAGATATCACTGGTGCTTTCAATGCCATTAATCATTCAATTTTACTGGATCGACTGGCCTCAATTGGAATCGCTGATAAGGCCCTCTGTTGGCTTGCATCTTACTCAAGTGCCTAAAAACAGTTTGTCCAAGTAAAGAACAGTCGCTCTGATGCAGGCTCAGTCACTCATGGTGTTCCTCAGGGATCTGTATTGGGTCCTCTTTTATTTATGTATTATCAACATTTTACCTTTAGGTCGTATATTTCATTCTAATAGCATAAATTTTCATTCTTATGCTAATGATACACAAGTACTGAAGTGCTTGTACATGCTTTGGTTACATTAAGGACTGATTATTGCAATTCTCTCCTATCTGGTATCCCTCTTAACCAACTTCAAAGACTACAGCTAATCCAGAACTCAGCAGCTATAGTAGTCACCCGCTCGTGTGCTTTTGAACACATATCCCCAATTCTCTTTCACTTGCATTGGCTTCCTATTTTTTATCGTGCAAAATAAAAATAAATGAATAAAAACTTACAAAGCTCTTCACAACCTGGCACCCAATTACCTCTCTGATCTTCTTCACTGGTAAACTCCTCTGCGCTCACTGAGATCTTCTGCGGCTGAACTTTTATCAGTCCCAAATGTTAAGATAAAATCATTTGGTGGCAGGCCTTTTAGCTGTATAGCACCACAGTTTTGGAATTCCCTGCCGTTAGATATTTGTCAGGTGGACTCTATCTCTAATTTTAAATTCCAGGTTATAACCTTTCTGTTCAGGATTGCTTTTAATGATTTTCTGGTCTACAGTTTTTTCTTAGTTGTTTACACACAATTACTTGTACTTCAGACACAATGACTACATCATGTAACTGATGCACCAACCCCCTGAACCCATTATGCTAAACTACAAGCACAATTACTGCTTTACACTCAAATTGCAGGTTTAAAACACTTTTTTTAAAACACTACACACAATTCTCTGCATTTTGCACACTTTTTATGCAGAAAATCTCTTGTTTTCACAAGGAACACACGGTCATTCAGAATTGTAAAGTCAGTTGTCCTACATTACATACTAACCCATCACTTAGGTAAACACCTGTCACACAGAATTGCAATTTAGAAATCAGAGCTCATCTGGTTTAATTGGTTCACTGCCCACCCACATTTTTTAGTTGTTTATCTCCCTATATATTCTCAATTCCTCAAACCTATTGAGACATTTTTTTCTGCCTGAGGATGGAAAGTGTATGACCGAAATCCCCACTCACGTATACCCCTTCTCCAAGCTATAGCAGTTGATGATTTTCATGGCTGGATTGACCATGCAGGGGGACATTTACAAACCAAAACAGAAAAGAGGATGCAGTATAGTGTTTTTTTTTTTTTTTTTTTTTTTACTGTAACTGTATTCCGTAAATCCTTCTGTTGATGGGTAATGTAGACCACATTATGTGCAATTTTGTGTTGGTTGGGATAAACACTGTGTACACTGTTTTTGTGGGGAAAATACAGTAAAATATATGTGTATTTTGTATAAAAACAATATACTGAAATATTTTACAATGCACTTCTGTAGGCCTATACTGTCTGTAGTGAGTGTAACACTAAACAAAAAAAGGCTTACAGTAAGTCATTCTGATGAATGGAGAAAAAGTGGTCAATGTGTTTTACATTAAGCACATCAGTGTTCAACTGTTCTTTTATGTGATGTCTGTTTATGTGATGGTTTGTGTGTGTCATTTGAAAACAAAAGACCTTTTTGAGAAGAAATAACATTGTTTTGAACGTGGTTTCATTTTGCAGAACAATTGGAGAGTTTTGCCCAATGTGTGTGCGTTTTGTGATTTGTGTGTAGAGTTCTGACAATATGAGACCTGCTTTTAGAGAATGTGTGTAAACAATTAGAAAAAACTGTAATTTTATATTTATTATTCTTCTGTCTTGCTTTTTATAATGTGCCTGTGACTGTGATATTGTAAAATGTCCTTGAGTGCTTTGAAAGGGCCCTATAAATAAAAGGTTTTATATTATTATTATTATTATATATGTTAAGGCAATTTTACATTCAAATTAAAGTGTCAAAGTAATTTTAGGCAGAATATCTTTTAGTTAGGCATTAGTGTTTTGTTGGTAGTGTGTAATTATGCATGCGAGACCTACACACTTGCACTCCTCTGTCGATTGGGGCCGTGGTACAAATACACAGTTAGACGACTGCTCTTCACACGCTTGTCAATCTCCTTCTTCCAGTGATGCACCAGAGAAGCAGGACAGATGATCAGCGTCCCCTGGGAAGCCACTATGGATGAACCTGAAGAAGAAAATTATGATACAGAAAATCCAGCATCTTTGACAGTTATACCACACATCAGAAACACTAATTAAATTAGATTAAAACTGCATAATATCTAAGTGTGAGAGCTATTAATCAGAGATCGATACCATGTTTAGAGATCCACTCCTCAAGTTTCTCATCCTTCTTTTTCTGAGACAGAATGAGGGCAATCATTGTGAGGGTCTTTCCCAGGCCCATGTCATCAGCTTAACAAAAAAAAAAAAAAAACAATTTTATAACATTTCATAAACTGTGGACTCATGTTATTAATTCTGTAATTATGTTACTATAATATGGATTATATAACTACTTTAATACTTGTATCATATATATTAAAAAGTATACATTTTAAACATAAATTAACTTTATGTTTTATAATTTTACTATGAATGTATAATTGTAAGAAAAACCACACTCTGGGCATATTAATGTGAACAGCAACCTAAACTAGCAAATGAGTTTAAACTTTTTTCTAGCACTATAATGATGTGATGATGAGGCTTCATTTGTCACATACACTGTTACATGCTGTGAATTTTGCCCCCACCAACTATACACAAACATCACACATTTCAGAAAAAGATAAGTCAGTCGAGAGGTAGCACAGAATGCCCATAAAGGGTCATGACACCCCCTATTTTCTGTTCAAGTCTACCTCAAAATTTTTTCAAAAGATGCATCATAATGGGTGTGGAGCTCCGCAAGCAAAGGGCAGGAGTGGTTGTGGCCAGCAGGAGAGAAGGAGGGGAGCGAACAACTGTTATCATTTAGCTCACAAAATGAGACAAACTGTGAGGAGACCCATGGTTTCATAGTTTACAAAGTTAAAATGCAGTAAACAATAATTTAATGCCCTGCTACATTTGTTATTCGTAATTCCATATACACATATCCACAATTTATATCTATATTTATATTTATATCACTCAGTGCAGAAGGTCTCTTGCTCTGTCTATTTTAACCATTAGCCCTGCTGCTAATCTAGAGGATTTAGGCAAACACAGCAGCACAGCAATGTCTCTAAATGTGAACGAACTCCTGATAAAAGACAACAACCACCATTCTCCAATTCTCGTACTGCTCTCCTGACAAAAATGCTTGCTGCACACAAACAGCTTTGCTGTATCGGCCCTGACAGCATCGCGGGGAAAACGTTCAACAAGCCCGTGGATCATGGAAAAAAACACATCAGACCCTTCATGAACAGTTAAATACTGTGTGCCGTGGGTCCGTGTCTCACAGCTTGGCACTGGCAGGTCTGCCTTGCCTTCGGAAAGCACGTGCAGTCATGCATAAGTAAAAAGCAGGGTCTTCTCATATGATAAGAAAACTCTGCTATGAATATTAATGAGAAACCAACGCGTCATCTATGCACTTGCAGTTTTGCACTACGTCGCCGAGTTTGATCCTGCCCCACAAAATATTTTAAACCCGAAGCTGAAATTAGCTGACAAAAGCTCAAACTTATCCAGTTTTCCCCACAATTAAACCTAACAGGTGCTAACACTGTCTTAACTGATGATCAACACACACAAATCTGTTAAAATCTTAAAAAAGAACTCAAGGGTTTCGTGAACCTTTAAAGTTAAGAAGTGTGAAAAAAAGTTCCGACTGTCTGTCTGTAGCTGTTAATCTGTGGCCGTAAGGGTGATTGTCTATCTGTACCTGTGTGTGTGTGTGTGTGTGTGTGTGTGTGTGTGAAGTCTCAACAGGTGTCCTTGAGACAGCAAAGTGGAATTCAGAGCATCTAGTTATCATGTACAGTGGTCAAACAGTTAATCCATTTAGTTACACTCTACTGTATTCTTATTTTCTCACAAAAAAACTTTTCTTATTGACAAGTATCTGTGTGTTTAATTACATTTCAATTAATGACCGATTGAGAAAACACAATAAACACAGATCTTAAATCCAAAAATTCCCAGGGTTCCCACTTTTAACATAATATCAAACTCCCTGACTTTCACTGTCTAAAAAGCTTATAATGACCAGGAATCAGGATACTGTTGTGTTTTACATAATATTAAAATTGTTCAAGCTTGAACAGCTATTATGAAAGCAACAATAAGTAATTTACCTTAGATTTGAAATGTAATAAAAAGAAACAATACTACTTAGTCAAACAACCAGCCTTTTACACGGTTATTTAGTAGCCAAAGCTCTTGAATTTTTTACTGAAGGCTTCTGAAAAATAGTTATTACAATGGGCAAAATGTGACTAACAAAAGTCCCTGATATTCAATGACTTTCAAAAAAAAAAAAATCCCTGACTTTCACTTTCTGAAATCTTTTTTTAAATTCAAATGACATTGCAGCAGCTAGATGACCCATGGGAACCCTGCATCGTTTTTTAAAAAGGGCACAAAGCATTACCCAGAATTCCTCCACATGGCTTCTGTGTCTCTCTCCACAGCAGCCAGGTCAGAGCTCTCTTCTGATGAGGCAACAGCTCCACCTGGTGAAATAAGTTCATCATAACATCCATGGTTAAATAAATAGTATAAAAAAATAAAAATGAGCAGCATTAAATTTAGCATCAAAAACTTGAATGTGAAATGAATAAACAATAAATTTAAATGAATAAATTAATGTCAATATGTTGACGCGATTTTCCAAAAACATCCTCCTATGTATTATAGTTTTTATATAATATTCTGATGTTAAAGCATAAGATCACCAACATATAGCTTTGGTTTATGACAAAGATAAACAGTATATTGTAAAACATATATGCTAATAAAACACATCTTAAAGTTGACCATGCAGTCAGTTTGAATGAATGAATGAATGAATAACAGAAAAACGCTGTTTACAGGCTGAACTGACTGACCTTGAGTCCTTTGGGATCGTGTGCTTCTGTGTTTTCTGTGGGGCAGGACTCCAGCGAGTCATGCAGATGGTCGATGGCCTCAGTGGTGGCATTGCGGACAGCCAGCAGTCTGTTCTCAGTCATCCTGCCACCATAGAAAGCCTGGCTCTGAGGATTCACTGCTCAGATAAATGGCCAAATCAGCACATTTATACGCTTACTAATAAAATGGGCACCGAAAGCACCAATTTGTAGGAGAAGAATGAGATTAAACGCAACACCTCCAAACATCTGGGAGTAGCCTTGGCTGAGGTTCAGGCCCAGTGAAGCACTGGAGGATTCCTTTAGCATGGCAGCTGGAGCTGTGGGCAGCAGAATGGTTCCTCCAGGACAACTGAATGGATTGGAAAAGCTGTGTGCGGTTTTATGTTCTGCCTCTGCTCTGTCTTTATCTTGAGACTCTGTTTTAAAACAATGGGATGATTTCATTCATGTTTCAGTACATTTAAAGGGGTGGTCCGGAATGTTATTTTAAGGCTTGGTTGTGTTAATAAGATGCAAAGCAATGTGTGCTCATGTGTTACTTGAAGGAAATCATGTTATTTTTTCATATATCTCACTTTGATTATACACAGCTACTCAGCTAACATGAAAACGAAAGGCCCGCCCTCAAGTGACTCTGATTGGTTATCGTCATATTGTGCTGTCATTCGCGGATCGGCTCGACGTCACGAGTGAAAATTGGATGCGGCTCCTTTAAGAGTGTTTGTGTGCCATTGTGTGTGTGTGTGTATTCATTTGTGTGCGTGTGTATACTATGCAGTATCTGTAACACGAAAAGCGCATGTGCATGGGACCGATGTTTATTGTTCTTTTTCTCTCATGCTCGGATTAAGTTATTTTCTGTGGTGACACTGGTGACAGAATAAAGCACAAGATGTGACATGAGACCTGTGTGAGCCTGGATTCATTTGTTTTTGCTGTTACACTCCAGTTGGAAGAGCATTGCTGTATTTTTTTTTTAAATCAACACGTTACAGGACGTCTTTCACGCATATCCGGAATATGCTTGTGTAAGTAACATGAATCGTTCACTTATCTTTTGCGACTTTATTGTCTGAGATGTAAAACGCATGGAAAAGCTGCCTGTGTAGAGAAACACTGCCGTCTCACACAGAGAGACGCACATGCTGGTCAAGAGTGCATGTATGTGTGTGTGTATGTTAGTGTGTGTGTGTGTGTGTGTGTGTGTGTGTGTGTGTGTGTGTGTGTGTGTGTGTGTGTGTGTGTGTGTGTGTGTGTGTGTTTACAGCAGTTTGACTGATAAATATGGATTTGTAGCTAAATCGTTAGCTGTGGTCAACATAATTTCCTGTTGTTTACATCTTTGTTACAACATACCGTTAAAGCTAGACAATGTGCATGTCATGATCAATTTTAACAAACAAAAACACTTACTGGTCGTGGCTCAGAGTTCACAGCATCTGAACTAGGAGAGATTCTGGAAGCTGCGTTTTGTCAAATCATGCTTGCTATATAATTTATAGTTCTCTGGAAAATAATTAATATTAAACTGTAAGCACTTCTGTGTTTGGGTCGTGTCATTTGAAAGCCCAAATACATAAACGGAGAAGCTCTGTGGAAATATCAGGATGGCATTTCTCCCTCTGCAAAAACATTACCGCGCATCTGGCCACGTCCTTTACCTGCGCAGTGTGGGTGCGCAATAAACAAACCTTTGTGATCTCACAGGCAGGGAAAGTATTTTTTTTGTAGTCCCCAAAATTCATTCATTGTAGGCTTTGCTAAGCTAACTGTGTAAAAATCAAGGACTCCTTTTGCATTGAACTTTGAGTATTTTACATTCAGAGATGCTGTTAATGTTCACACAGCTACATTACAGATTAACTAAAGTTTAAAATGTGATATCGTAGAGGACCACCCCTTTAAGAATATGAAGGAGGAAGAATTATTCATTTAGAAACATCGTGTCTTGGGGTAGTTGCAACATCCATATACTGTACTGGAACCTGAACTAACCTTGAATGCCAAACAACAACAAAAAAATTTATATATTATATGTCATAATTTAAGAGACTTGCACAGAGTGTGGCCTTTACACAATAATAAGAGATTGCATTTGTGTGTATATATATATATATATATATATATATATATATATATATATATATATATATATATATATATATATATATATATATATATGATATGAGTGAGTGGAGGGCCCTATGAATCTGCCATTATACGTCTTAGTGACATACAATGGTGATAGGTTAAGGCAAAGGGGTCATAAAAGAGCATGAGAGAGGACTTGGGGATACATGAGAACTATTTGTGTCAGAAAAGCATAAAATGTATAAAACATGTTGAAACTGTGATATCTGTTTGAAATGACAGATACTGTATGGGCGAAAAGACTCCAGTCTAGATGTTTGAAACATAGACACTAGTCATGATTACCTAATGTGAACTGAATGTGGAAAAAGAGTAATGAATATGTTAGATCTGTATATTATATGGGCCAACAAGAAGAAGGGGCTTTGAATAGGGGTCATCAAGAAATAGGAGCTGGGAGAAGCCTGTTTAACCAGTAAACAGCTGTGAAAACACAAAGATGGGAGAAAGCAAGGATAAAGGCTATAGCAAACTTGTGGGACATTAGATTGTCCTGGAGTGAGACTAGAGATGGGTATGCTTAAAGTATATATTTATATTATTATATTTTATATAATAAAGTATATTCTTCTAACATTCATAACCCCCAGTCTGGGCTTGATTCATTAAGAAAAAAGCCAGAAACCACGACAGTTTCCCCCTTAAACGCAACTTTTGTAAAGCATCTGCTTCACATTGTTGTGTCAGAATCTTTGTAAAACGGGCTACAGCCATACTTTAGAATGCTTAGTTTAAGCAAATTTGATGACACGATCATGCCGGTTAAATGTGAAGGGAGTCGCTTCGGCTGCGCTGTCCTGCGAGGGTTGTGTGCGCACGTGCGCGTTTCCTAGCAACAAGAACAAATGCCTAAACACTGTTGTCCGTATCCCTCAGTTGTTCAAATGTTTAGAGATGGTGTGACCAAAGTCACTGTGAGAATTATTCTTTGGTGTGACTCAACGCATACCTGTGGGTGCCTTTGATGTATCGCTTGATGCTTCTTATGTCCTTGTTGCAGCACCAGTGGCCACTAAATTAGGCACCGAAATGCATATGCTGATTCAGTGATCCTGCTTGTAAGACTGTTCTCACTCTCAGCTCACATCATTCAAAAGAAAAGGTCCACATAGTTCACTGATAATGTCAACAGACTGGACTGTCTTAGCAACGGGCTAAATACAAATCAGGACTAAGCAAAATCGTTTCTACTTTATAATTAATGTTCTCAACTTACAGCAATACAACTTTTCAATGAGTGCAATTGTTTGGATTCAATACTTTATTATTATTATAATTTTCCAATTTCCATTTTTGTAATGCTTGTATTTTGGCTTTTTTTTTTTTTGCAGTCCTTTTAGAATCCAATATGGAAATTATTTTTTCTTTATTGTCATTGATTGTTTTGAAATTCAAATAGCATTAACATGCCTGTGTTTTTATTTCTGTAATAAATATGGCTGTCAAGCAAGAATCTTGATGGTTTATTGTGGCTATGTTGTTTACATGAAGAAATCTGTGTTACAAGTTAAACAAAAATTATAATAAAACATTTAAACCATATTTTGAATTTAAATAGTTTTTGTCTTGCGTTTACATTAATTTTACATTTGAATAGACGAAATTGCAAGTTTCAGTCTTTTAAATGTAATTAATCGCAATTAATTGCAACAAAAAAGTGTGATTAATTAAATGTTTTTTAATCGATTGACAGCACTAATATATACATATATTTTAGTGTGTAGTTGAAGTTCATTCAAATTTGATGACAGGTTTAAATAATAATAATAAATATTAAGTACTGTATGTACATATGTGTGTGTGTGTGTGTGTGTGTGTGTGTGTGTGTGTGTGTGTGTGTGTGTGTGTGTGTGTGTGTGTGTGTGCGTGTGTAATCTCACCAGAAACTGCAGTCAGGCTCAAAGACTCCAGAGCCTCTTCCAGATCCTTCACCTGTCTCTTTAAACGCTCCCCTTTATCTGGCAGAGCAGACACATTTACCACTGAAAGAGTGGCCTGGAGGATAAAGCACCCACATAGAGTTAAAAATAACTAGTTCAGTCTAAATGTTGAGAAATATGAGAAAGCATTAAAGAGCAAGTAACCTTCTTCTGCTTGAGCTGGGTTTTGAGCTGGCTGTGGAGGGCTCTAGGGTCTTCAGACTGACCCTGAACTTTAGAAGCAATCTGAAAACCAGGGTACGAAGTGATTGTTTTCTGAACAGGTACAGCTGGAGTTGGAGCACTCTGCTGTGATGGAGGCTGTACCGAAATCACCAGAACATCATCGTCCTCATCGCTCCACTCACCGAAGCATGCTATTCCACTCTGGTCCTTATTCTTACTCTGATTTGGTTCTATCTTCTGAACATCAAGTGCTGTGGGCTTTTCAGAAACTGTCCCGTTCTGTGACGTCGAGCAAGAGGGTGACTGGCTTTGAGTTTTATCTGAACCTGATTTTGAATTAGAAGTGCTTTGCTTGTTTGAGGTTTTCTTGTCAAGTCCAGGTGAGCTTTTTGAAGGGCTTTGTGCAGAGCCGCCGGTTTTTCTAGGACTCTGCTCCTGCTGGTCTTTGAGGTTGTTCTCAGATTCAGTCTGCCCTTTATCATTTTCCTTCACAGGGTTTGAACTCTCGGGACATGTCTCATCCTCTGCTGCGCTCTTTGGTTTTTCATCATCAGACACTCTCTTCTTTATCTTCATCCCAGTGGGAAGCGTCTTGTTTCTCCAGGACTCTGAATCTGCAGAGTCTCTTCTCTCTGTGTCACTATGAACAGCAGGCCCTTTCTTATTATTCCCTTCTCTTTCTGTTGTCCCAGTTCGCTCATCTCTTTTTTTATCATTATCCTGCACATTCGCATGTTTATTTTCATCATTGACCTCTCCTCTGTCTTTTTCAGCATCTGGATCACTTCTAAGTTTTAAAGCCTTGTCTTGTTTTATCTTGACCTTGAAAGGGTTCCTGACCAGAGTCAAACTTGAGGATTGAAGATTTTCCAACAAATCAGTTTGTCGATCAGGATCCTTCTGCAAGACGATGATAGAACAAATTAATTAAGGAAAGACAGACATTTTGTTATTTTATAAACAAAACATCTGATTTAATTATACTGTATAACGTAAACATCAATATGCAAAACATTCATTAAACATGTTGTTAGAAACAGTTGTACCTCTTTCCATGGAACACAACCGCACCATTTCTGTCCCTCTGTTTTTCCAAGCATACAGCGATAAAACAACCTGACAATAAAAAAACAAAGTATTAAATGAATATTTATAATCTTTTCCTCTTTATCTTTTATTGTTTATTTTATTTTTCAATAACAGGGATGGTTTGTAGATTTAACAAACGTGACTACAAATCTCCAACAAGATCATCTCATGCTCATAAAAATAGAAAGGAGAATCCTTTTGGTTTCATGAATAATAGTTAGTTTTAGTTCCTTTATTAATTTATGAAGTACAATGAAACAACAGTTGCTGACCATTGTGCTGTACAAACCTAAAAGCAAATGATCAAAAATAGACAGCAACAGATAAAACAACATAGAATACATCCAACATACCACACAGAATCAACGATAAACAACAGGACATCAGACAGGTACAATGGGATCAATTTTCTCCCAATTTAAAAGTTCTTTTTAGGAGATGTCATTTAGATTCCATCTAAACAAAGTTTTCTTGGAAATTACTCTAATGTACATAGCTAGCCCGTTCCACATTTTAGGACCTACTACAGAGAAAGCGCAATCTCCTTTTTTCTTCAATTTGGATCTGGGAACTACTAGCATTTTCTGGTTCAATGAATTTAAACATCTGCCAGAAATTATAACAGTAATAAGATTAGAGAGATAAGTCATATATTAAAATTTTAAACTCTATTCTAATTTCTAAAACATATCAGCAGCCAATTTAGGGAGCGCAGGATAGGAGTAATGTGTTCAAACCTGCAGGTGCCAGTAAGAAGGTAGCATTTTGAACCACTTGAAAACGATATAGGATTGACCAATACCCACATAAATTGAGTTACAGTAGTCGATATAAACTGCCTATACACTACACTAGATGATATTATAAAGACAATGATTAATCTCTTAAATTCCGCATGAGTTAAAAAGCGTTTCACTTTGGCTAATAATCTCAGATGGAAAAAATAGGATTTAACTACTGCATTTACCGGTTTGTCAAATAGAAGGGCAGAATCCAGCATAAAACCTAGATTTCTTACAGATGGTTTAATGCAGTCGGATAAACTGTCCAACATTTGATTCAGCTTTCACAAGCCAGCTAGAGGACCTAAAACATTTGCCTCAGTCTTCTTCTAATTTAGTTTTTTTTTAAAAGCATTTGCCATCCAAGCCTTAACCTCTGTAAAACAGGCAGACAGTACACACTCTTATTTTGCTTGAAAGGCACATAGATTTGTATGTCATCGGCATAAAAGTGGTTAGATAGACAATACTTCCTACTAATAGTTTAGATAAACCTATAAGATTTTGTATGTATTAATAATTCCTAATTGATTTTCCATATAATTAAAAGAAAAACTATTAAAAGAAGTTAAAAGATCAAGCCTCTGCAAATCTGTTGATACTGGACTCTAGATACCTAATTCATAATAGTATTATTAATCAACCTCACAAAATATACAACACAAGCCTTACTTGTATTTGTCCTGTTTTTTATTGTAAATTAGTGTTTGAAGTTCAACAACGGAGTCCTCATGCTGAAGGCAGTGTGATGCAGGGATTCTGGAAAACATACAGGACCTCAGAACAGAGCAACACACTGGCTAATTCACACTTCATTTAAAAAGCAAAACCACGTATTCTGTTATCCAAGGTGTCCATAAATAAACTATAATTAGGATGATGTTATTATCATGTCTATCTAAATGTGTGTATACTCACTGTGTAGGCAGTGTAAAATTGCAGGGCGTTGCATCACGCGCAGTGCAAACATAGAAACTTTTCCCCTTATTCGGTCCTTCTTTTACACCAGTTTTCAACAAACAGGTACTTCCTAAATAACCCAAGTCGAATCAGTTGGTTTGGCTTGTGAAACAAAAACAAAGCTAACCAGATCTTTCACATTCATGTATCAAAATTCAGCGAAAGCATTAAAATAGACCTATAGATTGTATGAACTGCGTTCAAGGTAAAATTGCTGAATGCCAATCATTTATACTGTGATAAATATACATACTTACCGTGTCTTTCACACAAAACTCTTTCCATAGTGTTATGACAGCGTCAATTTTCTTTCACTCACCGCCTTCGCTTTTAGTTTTAACACAAACAGCCGCCGCCGTCGCGGTTTTGATGACGTATGATGCACTACAGCCAATGAACGCTACTGAAATAACATACTAGGCTCTTTTGAACCGCAGTCAAGGGAGCCGCCATATGAGAACAACCGGTCAAGCTAGCCGCCTCCTGTATTTTAATCAATGCACTTCTGTTTAGAGAACAACTTCTATTGTACAGAAGCTAGGGCAGCTAAAAACCTCACAGACATATTTCAGCGGTTATTGGCTAAATGTGTCTGCTAAAAAGAAAAAATACATTAATAAAAATTAAAAATGTACTTTTTAAAATAAATATGAAAATATAGATCACTGAAATAAATTTACTGCAGAGTTTTGGAGTCTTGCAAAAGTGTGCTAAATTAATTTAACACTGTTTGAATTCATGCTTTTTTCACTAACATTGATTTCTTTCGAGTTGACATTTATGCCAATTTACAAGGCAAAAAATAAATAAAATAAATGAAGTCTGCAAAAACAGACTTTTTTTACTGCTATTGCTGAGAATTCTGCCATAGTTGACATGACATATTCAATTAATTCTATTTAAGAATGACCTTGGCTCAATTTCCATGCCAAAGGTAATTGGTATTTACAGCTGAATATGGCAGAAAAGTAAAGGCAAAGTCCGCAAGAATACATCGCTGATAATTTCTTGCTTTTTATTCATGTATTAATAAAAATTTCTTCAGAGTTGACAAGACATTTCTATAAATTTTAATTCAGGATGACCTTGACTCTTTCCATGGGAAATTCATTAGCATTTACAGCTGAATATGGCAAAAAAATAAAGTTAACGTATGGAGATGTACATTACATCACTGATCCATTCTTGCTTTTTCTACTGCTATAATTAAAATTCCTTCAGAGTTGACATGAAATATCCAATGAACTCTGAATCAGGATGACTTTAACTCTTCACATGCCAACTTTCATATAGAATTACAACTGCATTTGGCAGAAAAATGAAGGCAAATTCTGCAAGAATACATTACATCACTGATCATCTTCTGCTTTTTTACCTGTACTATTAAAATTCTGTTAGATTTGACAAAAAATGTCCAATCAATTCTAATTCAGTATGACTCTGACTCTCTTCGTGCCAACATTCTTAGCGATTTACACCTGAATTTTGCTGAAAAATAAAGTATGGAGAAGTACATTACATCATTAATCATTTTATGCTTTTTCTACTGCTATAACTAAAATTCCTTCAGAGTTGACATGAAATGTTAAATCGACTCTAATTCAGGATGACTTTGACTCTTTCCATGACAACTTTCATTTGGATTTACAGTTAAATTCGGCAGAAAAATAAAGGCAAAGTTTTCAAAAGTACATTACATCACTGATCATCTCATGCCTCTACCTGTACTATAAAATTATTTTAGCGTTGACATGCAGTTTTCAATAACTTCTAATTCAGAATGACCTTGACTCTATCTATGCCAAAGTTTTTTGAAATTTACAGCTTAATTTTGCAGAAAAATGAAGATAAAATATGCAAAAATAATTATTTCTTTTAGTGCTGTTGTCATTAAAATTTCTACAGAGTTGAAATGAAATATTCAATAAATTCTAATTTAGAATGGCCTTGACTCTTTCCTTGCCAACTTTGTTTAGCCTGTACAGCTAAATTTAGCAAAAAAAATAAACATAAACATCTGCAAGAATGCATTACTGACATTTTACGGCTTGTTCTACCTGTAATTTTATAATTTCTTTCAGAAATATATTAATGAAATATTTAATGAATTCTAATTCAGCATAACATTGACTTATTCCATACCACCTTTTATTGACATTTACAGCTGGATCTGGCAAAGTGTAAAGTCTGCAAAAGTATATCACTGAACATTTCTTGCATTTCTACCTAATATTTTTTAGAGTTGACACACAATTTTCAGTTAATTCTAATTCAGGATGACATTGACTCTTTCCATGGCATTTTTTTAGATCTACATTTACAGCATTTACAGCTGAAAAATAAAGTATGCAAAAGAATATTATGAAGAAGGAAAAAAGATTTATCCAACACCAACATTAACCCACTTAAAACGCAAGTTCAGTCATTAGGCCAAAATCATTTACTATGATTTACTAGTGAAAATCTGTTTTCTAAAGCTTGTGGAAATTTGTCTTCGGAATGTTTTAATTTAGCCAGTTAAACTCTGCTGCTATTTGAGGATTTCCGCCTGGATTTTGCCTACCCAAATTTAAAAGCTTCCCAAATCCACATGCAGAGATGTAAATGCAAGAATTTGGTATCATTTTAAAGAAAACCCTTTAAATTTTCATAAAACACTATTGAAAGTGTTTAAAATAACTGTATATGTCGTCTGTGTTATAATAAACACCTAAAAAAAGAGGCGCTTTTTGTATTTTTTTATAAACTCAAATTTGAAAGTGTACCTTTTAGTTTCTGTGTGATCTGGCGTGCTGTAATTAATTTTGTTGGTTCCTGCACATGTTTGTAATCATAGGAAAAAAGAAAAAAAATGTCTCTACCATAATCTAAGCAAAAGTATTGCATTCCAACTGATGAGAGGTGCTACACAAGCCACAGAGACTGATCCTGGTTTATTTCACTATTGTTTTGTTTGATCAAACATAAATTACTGTGTTTGGACCACATCAGACATATAAAAGGATTACTTATACAAAAACAGAGGAGAATGGCCCTGAAGGGCACAGCATAAGGTAAGAGATGACAGCTGTCTGTGCTATCTGGGGCTGCTTAGTGATCATGAATGTATTGTTTACATTTCTGTGCTATGGAAACACCACAATTCATTCAACAACTGTTTAACATATGAATATAATTCAGTAAAAAGAATGCTAGAACTGTATGAGCACCGGCAAGAGCTTTCATTTGAGCTATAAATTGTACATGTGTCATTTGAAAAAAATATGAAAATGAACCAATGTGAAATACCTAGCTCGGGTATCCAAAATACTGTGTATTTAAGTGTAAATAACTTTTATACAGTAGGATAAAAACCAAAGTGATGCATATGTGCATAAAATATAGATTCTACACTTTCAAACGACACCACTTACGGGGGTTTGGTGCAACGCTAGCCCTTTAAATCTGAAAGCGAAAGTCGATGACGTCAGAGTTTAAGTGGTTAAACAGAACACTGTAGATTATAGCCTACATTGTTTTTAGGCCAATATGCACAATTTCCAAAGTGTTTTGAATATAATGTTCAAAGTTTTTAAAAATAAAACTAATCACTTTTGCAAAATTTAATTTCTGACCCCAAATGTAATTTTTTTTTAGAAAATAAATAAATCATATGTCAATGTATAGCCATGTCCTATTTGAATCTAGGCTATATAAAAGTAAATGTTATTGTTAGTGGATTTTATTTTGTTAACAATATAGAAAAATTATGGAAGATTTTTAATAATATTATAAAAAGAAGTAAATATCATTAATTCAGTCATTCATTTATTTTACTTAGTCCCTGATTAATCAGGGGTTGCCACAGAAAGGAAATATCTTTCAATGTAAATTAAGTAGGCTAAGAAAAAGATGAACCTATATAAGCAGACAAGCTATTAGTTTGTCCAGCTCATGTCATATTGCATAAAATGAAATTGAATAAATAAAATGATTGTAGACTAGGGCATTAGGTGGCACAGTGGGTAGCATGATTACCTCACAGCAAAAAGGTTGCTGGTTCAAACCTTGGCTGGGTCAATTGGCATTTCTGTGTGGAGTTTGCATGTTCTCCGTGTGTTCTTGTGGGTCTTCTCCGGGTGCTCCAGTTTCACCCACAAGTCCAAAGACATGCTATAGGGGAATTGGGTAAATTGGCCATAGTGTAATAGTGATTGGATGTGTATGGGTGTTTCCCAGTGATGGTTTGCAGCTGGAAGGGTACACAGGGGCCAACCTCTCTCCCTGGACTTGCAGTCTGGGCTTCTTAGTCAAGGCCCCAGAGGGCCCCTTGCCCTCCACCTAAGGGGTCCTTGACCCCAGCAAGCTATCCAGGGGCCAACCTCTCACTCTGGACTTGCAGTCTGGGCGAGAGACCAAGAGGCCCAGAGGCCAACCCTGAAGCCAACCTCTCTCCCAGGACTTGCAGTCAGGGCGACAGTGGGCCCCTTGCCCTCCACCTAAAGGGTCCCTAACCCCAGCAAGCTTTATAGGAGCCAACATATCTCCCTGGACTTGCAGTCTGGGCTCCTTAGGGCCCCTTTGCCCTCCACCTAATGGGTTCCTGACCTTAGCAAGCTACCCAGAGGCCAACCTGTTTCCCAGTACTCTATCAAGTGCTCTATCAAAAAGTGACTTGCGTAGAAGTAGAAGTGCTCTTTAAGCACCATACTTAAGTGGAAGTACTAAAGTATTCAACATTTTTGTACTTAAGTATTGCAAGTAGTTTATTTAAAAATTTACTAGTCAAGTACTCAAAGTAAAAGTACAAGTAATGTGTAATGTAGTTATTAAAGAAAGCAGTCAAAAGACATCATATTGTTTTGTTTATTTTAAAGATCTTTTTAGGGGGCAGAATGAAAAAAAACATGGCTTACAATACTGTTTTTCTCTCACGCTTGATCCACAGATCTGACAGTTTATAGCAGCTTTAACACACACCTTTCAAAATTGTGTCACAAAAACACTCCGTAATCCACTCAAAACTCTATTGAAACCAATTTTCGGATCACAAATTACCAGTTGTAAAAGCTGTAAATGGAAGTTCTAAACCTTATACCGGAAGACGCTGGTGGCTATGGTGCCCTGCAGCTCCATGAAAAAGGTCTATAATTTTAATGAGTAGTAGGGGTGTGTACCTACACTGGTCTTATGGTTTGGTTCGGTTACGAATATCATGCCATCGATTAAGTTCAATTCGAAATCTAAGCTTTAACGACACTTTTCATACATAGATTTTTTTTTCACAACACAAGATTTTTTTTATTAAAATCTATAAATATATTCATATTTATATATTATCCCTTTATCTGCCTGCTCGACCCAATGGTTGACCATATTTTAACTGATCATATCTTATTGAGAGGAGT